CTGGGGGCAGGCGGCAGGACTGGGCTGTTCTGCTTCCCGGGCCCCCGACGCCCAGGGGTCCCGCACTGCTGAGGCTCCCACTGGGCTGTGGGCAGTTGCCGCTCCCGGCTGCGCTGGGGGGGGGCAGAAAGGGGAGCCCACGGGCCTTGCCGCTCACCCCCTATGGGCCCAACCTGCGTGGCTGCTGCGTGTAACCCCCCCCGGCCTCCGGGCGCAGTGCCCACTGGAGAATTTGGCCCATCACACAGATCTTAGGGACTTGGTCTAGCAAACCCCAAAACGCCCTTCTCAGGTCTCCAGGCCCAGAGCCGGCCAGACAGGGCAGGGCTTCCAGGATCTGCCCCCAAAGCTCCTGCTGCCAGACTCTCTGGGCTGTTTTCTCTGGGCTTTAACTGCAGGCCAAGATGTGCTGCCTGATTAAACAGCCAGCGGGGCGGGCTCTGGGAAACGACACGGTTCCGATCGCTCCCATCATGCACGGACACTTCCACGCGCTTGCAGAGACAGAGCTATTGACCCCAACCCCCCCCGAGCTTGGACAAGTCCAGTCCAGCCCAGCTGGGCCTGAGCCAGGCCGTGGCTCCTGGGTAAGGGAGGGGTAAAAGTGAACATGGACCAGCGTCCTCTCACTGGCCCGGGTGTAAACCAGGTGGCCGTCAGTGGTGTTACACCACGGTCAGTGTGAACAGGATCAGTCCAGTGTGTTTCAACGGGCCCCGGACCCCAAAGCCTGATGTCTTGAGAGCCAGGCCCAGAACCATGCGCACCCTGGCCAGTTACACACGCCAGCTGTTCATTTCTGGATGCTTTGTTACCGAACACCCGAGTCCAAGCCCCCCATTCAGTGTGTGTGGTTTAAACCAGAAGGAAGAGGCTGCTAAAACTGAGCAAGAAAGCCGCTGCCAGGCTTTCAAGACATGCTACAGTCATTGCTAGCAAAGAGAAATAGAAAATGTGCATTAAAAAGTGCCTACTATAGACTTGTTACAATTCTGCCCAGGGTGGCTCCCCCTTGCTGTCTGCGAGGCGGAAGGCCATGTACATGAGGGAAGAATTTGTAATTGACACGTTAACTCGTACAGGGCTGGAACCAAGAACAGGCCCAGCGTGTCCCTGCCGGGGGCTGTGCATTAGCAGAACTGGCCCAGCTCTCCGGCAGCGCTGGGCCGCACGGAGGCCTGGATTTGTGCCGGGGGTAAGGGATGCAGAAGTGCCCCTCGCTCCCACTTGCCCCCCTGGCTTTCCACATTGCACTCGGAGAGGGGGCTAGCGTGCAGAGGAGGAAACGGGGCAGCAGCCCTGCTCCCGGCGCAGAGGCGGCGTGTCAGTGTTGTGCACATTGGGCACAGGACACCTGTAGCCTGCCAGGTGATTAGTATTGCAGAGAACCAAGCCGGGGGAGGGAATTCTCTTTGGACCTACTTCTGGGGGGGGAAGGGACAAGCAATGCTGCTGGCGCTCACCGAGCCCCCCCGGCCGCCCTTACCGCCTGGGTGGGAGCAGGGCTGCAGGATCCCAGAGCCTTGGGTGCAGCGGCCTTGGGGAGGGGCAGCAAAGCCCTGCGAGACTGACCCGCTGTGCGGTCCTGCCCCCGCCCCCGGCAGCAGCTCCAAGCCGGCGGAGGGGGGGCCAAGGCTGCAGCGTGCAGGGGGAAGGGGGGCCCGGAGACCCACAGCAGGCATGATTGGTCTGGTCTCGCCGTGCTCCTGGCTTTCATTTCCCCCACACCTGGATGCAGTCAAGCACCTGGCCCATCCAGACAAAATCCAACACGTCTGCGGTGGGATTTGGAAGGAATTCCCGGCCGCTCTTGGCACCGTTTAAAGCCGTGTGCTGAGAGGCAGGAGGGCTGCAGGAGCTGAAATCCGAGCCTGACATTTGCCTCTCGGGGGCTCCTGTCTTGCCACAGTGCAGGGGGGGGGCTG